GTCATGTGCCCAAACCGCAGGGTTGGAGCCAGGAGTGGAGCATTTAAAGACTACTTACTTTGCTTTAAGAAATCAAGCAAAAAAAAAAAAAAAAAAGAAATCAAGCTCTAGTTGAGGGCTTCTAATATATTTTCTTTGGTCTAGTTTTTAATTTTGCACCTACAAAGAGGGGTGCTAAATTCTCCAGGGTCAGAGTAGTCCACTGCGAAAGGCCTTTCTTTGCCCTGGAACTAGGGAGCGAGAGACTTGTTTCCAGAGGGAGGGAGAAAAACAGCGCAGGTTCCGGAAGTAGCGCAGCCGTCCTGGCGCCGGCTTCCTGTCTGGGAGTGAGGTTGCAGCGGACTGCCCTTCCCCAAGATGGCGGCGAAGCCGGGTTGGAGACGGTGGATGCTGCAGCTGATAATGCAGTTGGGTGCGGTACTGCTCACTCGTTGCCCCTTCTGGGGCTGCTTCAGCCAGCTCATGCTGTACGCCGAGAGGGCGGAGGCCCGCCGGTGAGTGTCCCACGCCGTCGCCCAACGCGCTGGCAGTGGGGGAGGCGGTCCGGCCGGTCTGGGGAACTGGGGTGCCGTCGGTGGTGACAAATCAGGCGCCCAGAAGATGGGGTCGCTGGACTAGGAAGAATTGGGACTTCGGACTTGTTGGGAGGGGCTTTGGTCTGGGTCAAGATGGGCATTGAACTTGGTGTCGGCGCTCTGGTCACCAGGGGAGGGGTATCTGGTGTGTGGGACCTCAGAGCCTCTCGACCCCATCTTTTCTGCCCTCTTTACTCCCCCGCTCCCGGGGCGCAGGAAGCCTGACATCCCAGTGCCCTACCTGTACTTCGATATGGGAGCTGCCGTGCTGTGCGCCAGCTTCATGTCCTTTGGGGTGAAGCGGCGTTGGTTTGCACTGGGGGCCGCCCTCCAGCTGGCCATTAGCACCTACGTCGCCTACCTTGGGGGCTACGTCCACTACGGAGACTGGCTGAAGGTGAGCATCTTGGCCTTAACGGGGCTTCGCGGGGGGATGGGAGCTGGTGGCAGGGGGTGGGCTGCATGTGCGGCTAGCCAGTGCACGGTCCCAAGGCCCAGCCTCAGGCTTAGGGAGATTATTCAGAGCGTGCAGACATGGAAGCCTTTAGAGACTAAGGGACCTTCCTCTTCAAAGGTGGAAACTGACTCCAGAGATGTGAGACTTTCCCAAAGTCACAGGGCAAGTTAGCCTCTCCGGTGGGGCTACAGCCTGGGTCACCACATTCTCAGGTTTCTTTACACCACCAGTTTAGGAATCTGAGATCCACACAGGATGTAAGGGACTAGGGGTCTGCCCAGTCATTTAATTCTATGGAATTGAATGGCTCTTAATGCAGTGTTTTAAGCCTGTAAAATTCCAAACCTATGCCACAGGCACTGGTAACTTGGAGCTGGGCCTGGGCAAAGGCACTCCTTTAAGGGCAGTCAGCAGGGCGGCGGGGCAGGTGTGTCAGCAGCCACAGGACCACAAGGTCAGCGGGGAAGTCTTCAAAAGCTGAAGAGACGATACCGTGGAGAAGACAGAACACTAGGGTCAGTCCAGAGACCTCGAGTGGGACAACGTGGCAACGTTGGTGACAACGTGGGGGCTGGGGGCTGCCATTTTCCTTTATGCAGGTTTACAGGGGCCCTCAAACTGCGGCCCGCCAAGGACATTTATCCGGCCCGCTTAGTCTTTTTTCCCTGTTTGGTTTTTTACTTCAAAATAAGATATGTGCAGTGTGCCTAGGAATTTGTTCATAGTTTTTTTTTAAACTATAGTCCAGCCCTCCAATGAGTCCTAGGGACAGTGAACTGGCCCCTGTTTAAAAAGTTTGAGGACCCCTGGTGTAGGACCTTGGGCAGTAACTTTAACCCTTTGGGCCAGTTGCTGCCTCTGTAAAAAAGAGTCACCTACCCGTGCTATACCTGCCCCCCATGCTTGGAGATGGGCAGTTCTGAGCTGTGGACAACCAGCGGCAATGTGGCTGCCTGCAGTACCTAACTGGCTGGGGTTCCCTTGCTTGGCCCAGGTCCGCATGTACTCGCGCACAGTCGCCATCATTGGCGGCTTCCTCGTGCTGGCCAGTGGTGCTGGGGAACTGTACCGCCGGAAACCCCGCAGCCGCTCCCTGCAGTCCACCGGCCAGGTGTTCCTGGGCATCTACCTCATCTGCGTGGTAGGTTGAAGAACGTGGACCAGCAGTGCCTGGCTGGGAGTGCACTGTGTGCCCACAGAGCTGGGCAGAACAAAGCCTGCATGGGGGTGCCGAGGGCCTGGCCAGATCCCTGGCCTCAGGAGCCCTCTAAGTGCCTGAGGCCTGGCTGGGAGTCCCTTCTCCTGACATTGCCACTGGGGAGAGAAGTTGGATTGATCATTCCACCTGGGGACAAAGGAGAGGGTTGGTGGGAGTCAGGCCCCAGACAGGATTCTAATGTCGAGCTGGTTCGGGACTCCCCAGGGAAACTAGTTCCTGTCCTTTCTGTTGCTCAGGGAGGCCAGTGTGGGATAGTAGACAGGCTCAGGCCAGTAAGTTGTAGCTTTTTTTCTGGGCTCCCTATCATGAGTGCCAAGCTCTGTGGGCACCTGTGGGGGGGCATCAGAGGTGGGAGCCCTGTTCTGATGCTGGGAGCACCATCTGCCCTTCAGAGTCCTTAAGTGTGAGGCCCTAATCTCTCGTTGCTCCTCAGCCCGGTGGGGGTGGGGGTGGGGATCCGAAGCCCACCGTACAGAGGCTGCTGTTTGCAATGTGCCGGCGTGTCTCTGAGAGCCCCTGTGTGTCCAGGCCTACTCGCTGCAGCACAGCAAGGAGGACCGGCTGGCCTATCTCAACCACCTGCCAGGAGGGGAGCTGACGGTCCAGCTGTTCTTCGTGCTCTACGGCGTCCTGGCCCTGGCCTTCCTGTCGGGCTACTACGTGACCCTGGCCGCCCAGATCCTGGCCGTGCTGCTGCCCCCGGTCATGCTGCTCGTCGAGGGCAACGTTGCCTATTGGCACAACACTTGGCGTGTTGAGTTCTGGAACCAGATGAAGCTCCTGGGGGAGAGTGTGGGCATCTTCGGGGCCGCCGTCATCCTGGCCACTGATGGCTGAGTCGCACAGTCAAGAGCCTGACATGCCGGGAGGCCCCGTGGCTGCTTGTTGATCCTTATGATCAGTTTGTTTGACCCTTTGCTTGTTGGGTGTTGGTAGGAGGCAGGCCCCTTCTCCCAAAGCCTGGGCTCAGTCCATTGGGAGGGTGGGGGCCCTGATGCTGATGCCTTGTGAGTTTGTTCCTGTTGGTTTGACGGGGTGTCAAGAGCCAGCAGCACCCCAAGACCTCCTGTTCCTGAGCCGGCACTAAGGCAGGGCCCGGGGGTGGGGGAGCATGGGCCCATGGTAGACAAAGAAAGACATGAGCAAAATCCCCTTTCCAACGGGGCTCTGCAGGGCTTCATGGAGATGGGAGTGGAAACGGGTGTTGGCACATGTGTGATGGGTCTGGGAGGAGCAGAGGGGGCCGGGCACCTCAGAAGATCCGTGCGTTCTCAGGGCATATGGGGCAGATAGTACTTGTTCCCTACCACCCGCCTGGAGCTGGAGCATGGGGTGGGCAGCAGCTAGTTTCTTGCCTCCTCCTGTCTGTGACCAGCTCGTGCCTGGCCTAAAGGGAGCGGAGTACCCTCCAGACACCAGACCACACAGTCCTCCAAAAATAAACATTTTTATAATCACATCTGGCTCTATCTCTGGGCTCCCCATGGAGCACCAGGCTGCTGGCTGTGGTTGCTCCTGGATTCTTGAAGGACCCAGCCTGGTCCTGGTGTTCCCACAGCCTCTGACTCTTGTCTGGAGAATCTCTCAGACCTTCCTACAGTGAGGTTGGGAGTCCACCCCCAGTCCCTCTGGCCGGAGCTGGTGTTTAGGCTCCAGGTGCAGCTCTTTGGTGAAACCAGAGGCAACTGGAGGAAGAGGACGGACGTTCAGTCCCGACTGCGAAGCCGAGGTTTCACAGGAGAGGAAACGAGGCCCAGAGATGGCAAGCAGCTTGCCTAAAGCCACAGAGCAAGCTGTGACTGGACTCCAGGTCAGGCTGCCATATGGCCACGCCTGGCCCAGAATAGAGTACAGCTGCTATGGGGCTGTGGCTGTCAGCCGCTAGTGTGCTCTGATGGTCTAAACTGCCCGTCTCTCCATTTGCCCACCCACCTGACGCGAAATACTCCAGCAAACAGTGTGGGACCTAGCACCTAGTTGGGGTTCAAAACAATGTCAGGAAACCGCTGGGCTTTGGACTCCTGCCCCCTGAAGAGACTGAGGCTCCGTGTCCAGTGGGCTGGGGGATGGCCAAGTCTAAGCTTTTAAGCCAAAGCCACCTTTTCTCCTCTAGGGTCTGGTGGGTCAGAGGCGAGCTGCTGTTTTCTGGGCTGGGGGAGGGAGCTGGGTTGTGAAATGGGGTGAGGGACCCCTCGAGGGGCTGACACCAGGTGAGGGAGATGGCAGCGGCACTCAACCTTGGGGCCTCCACCTTCCTTAGCTCCCCTGTCCCCCTAGGACTGCACCCTAGCCCCCAGGGTCTTGCTCCCAGAGCCTCAGACCTAATGGCCTTTCAAGTGTGAGCTGACTCAGACACGTGGGTGCATTTAATCAAGGCTTCCTGCAGAGTTGCAAGACGCAAGGGAACTAAAACTGGCCGCCGGATAGCAGACAGGTGGGGGTGGGGGGGCAAGCTATTGGACAAGAGCTCCAGGGGCAGCCCTCCATGTCAAACCCCACCCCTGCCACAAGGCAGGGGCTGGAAGACCTGCTTGAGACTCTGGAGCAAGGGGGGGTCTGGGGCGGCCTTCACCTTTCTGTGCTCATCCCACGCCAGTGCCCCACCTCAGGAGAGCCAAGTGGGAGCTGCGGGCTCTTCGGCAAACCACCCAGGCAACCAGCCTGGTCCCGGCGGGGCCTGTGTTGGGCCAAACCTGGCAGGCATGGCTTTTGGTCCACCCTGGTTGTCCCAGGGCCTGCAAGGCCCATACTGAGGGTCAGCTGCCCGGATCAGAAACTGGCTTGCAGAAGGAGTCCGGCAGCCCCTTGGCATGGTTGACCAGCTCATAGGAATCCCGGATGTCGGCCAGGCCAAACCAGAAGAAGATCCACTGCTTGTTGGAGAAACTGCCGTCGCTGTGCTTGAAGTACCTGCCGGGGGAGCAGGGCACATTCAGAGCTAGGCCACTGCAGGCTCACTGGTTCTTTCAAAGAGCAGATGGTGAGGCCCTACTGTGTGCTGGGCACCCTCCTGGGACCTGCTGTCTGTTTCTGATTGCATCTTTCCAGCCGCTCTCCGAGCCTGGGGGCTGTGCTCACTCAGAGAAGCCTCTGAGGCTCAGGGACATCAGGCAAAAAGCCAGCAGTGGTTCTCAAACTGGGTCGCGACCCCTTTGGGGGTCGAATGACCCTTTCACAGGGGTTGCCCGATCCATCACAGTAGCAAAATGACAGTGATGAAGTAGCAATGAAAATTATGTTATGGTTGGGAGGTCACCACCACATGAACTGTATGGAGAACCACTGCTGTAAACGAATGCCTGGCTTTCTCTACACCACCTCGGCTGCCCAGCGTTGGGTAGAGGGTCTTATTCACCGCGTGGTGTTCATGGTGCAAGGTAGTGGGGGGGACTATGGGGTAGCTGCTGAAAGGGAGTGAGCAGGGGGTACTTTGGGGAGGTACAATAGGCCTGAGGCCAGCTCAGCCTAGACAGAGCCTGAAAGGTCAGGCCTTTTTGGGGTGCTACGTGGGGGCGTGCCCACATTAGAGGAACACTCAGTGGGACCAAGCAGGGTTTGTGTGACCTGCCTCCTAGATCTCCAGCTTCTGGGGGTCTGCCACCTGGGGGTGTGGAGCCACACTGGGTGGGGCCTTTGGCAGGGGTTGGGGTGGCAAGCAGGGAGAGACATTGGGAATCCACCCTTCCACTTGGTCAGCATGTGGCTGGCCCCAGAGGAAGGCAGGGCCCAGCCCAGAGTTGAGACCAGTGGGACCTACCAGGGATTGATGGGGTTGGTGACCCTGGAGCGCCAGAAAAGAGTCTGCAGGTCCCGCCGCAGGCACTCCCACAGCATCTGGCCCGAACCCTGGCCCTGGCGGCTGGAGCCCACCACGAACTTGTCCAGGTACGGGGTGCCCCCAAGTACGGGTTCCATGGTCAGAATGGCGGCTGCGTTGTACCTGGCACAGCAGGGAAGAGGCAGGCTGGGACCTCACCTTGGCCCAGAGCTGCTCCGCTCTGTCCCTTGGCCCCTGCCCCTGGGGCTCCAGGCTCACCCCTCAGAGACATAGATGGAGTGCAGCCGTGGGCGCAGGGAGGACAGGTAGTCCTCACGGAGCTTCTTGCCAAAGCTGGTGTTGACCAGGTTCACCAGTCGACCCTGGTCCAGGCTGTCCAGGCTCTGGACTCTCAGCATACGCTCTGCGTTCTTGAATAGCGTCCCGGACCCTGGAGGCAAAATAGAGGGCAAGGGGTAGTTTAGCCCCCCACCCCTCTGATTGAACTGCCAGGTCCCATTTCCTAGAAGAGCAGGGCCTGATGGGACAATTGCCCTCTTGAGGCGATCACTACGATGAAATCTACCACCTGTCTGTCAGTCTGCCCTGCGGTGGTTTACGTGTTGGTGCGATGCTGGAAACTGTGCCACAGGTATTTCAAAGTGGACAGGTCTCAGTGGACCTTCCCTGCTGAGAACAGACAGCACAGAAGGGCTCGGCTGGCCACTTCGGAGGTCGGAGCTGCTGCAAACCTTGTGCACAGCATGGAAACCTTGACGGACACCGAAGGCCCAGTGAACGGGAAGCGAACATTGCTGGAGAGGGTGCCGGAGGACGGGCCCTCGGGTCAGAAGCCACTGGAAATGTGACTGAGGAGGAGCTGCCTTCTCAGAGTGGAGCTGCCCAGAGCGATGTGAATGAAGTGAAGCAGGAGCGGAGCCTCCGGGGTCCTCCTTTGGTGAGGGGGTACCACAGCGGCAAACACCTGCTAATGATCAGAACTTGGAGTGCACAAAGTAGGAATCTAGGAAAATTGGAAGTCATCAAAAATGAAAAGGAATGCATAAGCATGAATGAGCTGAAATGGACAAGTATTAGCCATTTAGAATCAGCAAATCATATGGTTTCCTATGGTGGAATGACACAATCAAGAGAAATGGTGCTTCATTGTCAAAAAGCATACTTCAGGACCTATCTTGAAGTACAATGCTGTCTGTGATAGGATTATATCTATCTACTGTCATGGAAATTTAATCAATACAACTATTATTCAAATTTAAGAAAAAAAATTATGCACCAACCACTAAAGTTAGTGATGAAGAAATTGAAGAATACTAACATCTTCAGTCTGCAATTGATCAAACATGCCATCAAGATGCACTGATAATTATTGTCAATTGGAATGCAAAAGTTAGTAACAAAGAGGAAGGAATGGTAGATGGAAACTAAGGATGGTGAGATAAATGAGGCTGGAGATCGCATTATAGAAATTGCAAGACCAATGACTTCTTCATAGCAAATACTTTTTTTTCAGCAACACAAATGAGGACGATACACATGGGCTTCTCTAGCTGGAATACACAGAAGTCAAATTGACCACATCTGTGGGAAAAGACAATGGAGAAGCCTTAATGTCAACAGCTAAAACAGGCCAGGGGCTAACTGTAGAACAGACCGTCAATTGCTCCTATGCAAGTTCAGGTTGAAGCTCAGGAAAATTAAAACCAGTCCACAAGAGCCAAAATAAGACCTGGCATCGATTGCATTTGAATTTCGAGAACATCTCAAGAACAGATGTGATGCATTGCACACTACTGACCGAAGACCCGAGGAACTGAGAGCACATCGTGCATGGGGGGAGTAAAGGTCATTTGAAAGACAGGAAATAAAGGAAAGATAAAGTGGACGTCAGAGAAGACTCTGAAGCAATCTATTTTTTTTCTAGTTCTTTTTGTTTGTTTTGTTGACAAGGGAAAATCTTACAATGACATGCGCATAGCCCTCGAGCTAGAAGGCCCAGAAGGAAGTGCACACTCAGGAAGTCTTAAACTGATGACGAGGCAATGAATGTACAAATGTGCTTTACACAGTCGATGTGTGTATGGATTGTGATCAGAGTCGTATGAGCCCCTAACAAAACGATTAAAAAAAAAAAAAAAGGAAATCTGAAAGTGAAAGAACTCAAAAAAACATCAAGCCTCAAGCTGCAATATTGAAAGAATCTATGGGCAAAATATTGAATGCGGCAAGAAGCATCAAAGTAAACTGGAAAGAATCCAGTCACTACCAAAAAGAGCTTGTTGGCATGCCAGTGTTGCAGGAGGGAGCATCTGAGCAAGAACCAGTGGGGCTGCAGGGAGAAGTTCAAGCTCCACTGGAAGCACAGCCAAAACAAGGGCCCAGGAACTGATGGCGTATCAGTCCAACTGTTTCAACTCGCTGAGAAGCACAGGAGCACTTACTCCAGGAAATTTGGAAGACAGCTACTTGCCAACTGACTGGAGGAGATCCAGATTTGTACCGATTTCAATGAAAGGTGACACAACAGAATACTCAGATTACGGGACAATATTGCTAACATGTGAGTACAATTTTGCTGAAGATCATCCAAAAAACAGTTGCAGCAGTATAGTGATAGGGCGCTCCCAGAGGTTCCAGCCGGCTTTAGGAGAGGACGTGGAACAAGGGATGTCATTGCTGATGTCAGATGGATCTTGGCTGGCAGCAGAGAATACCAGAGAGATGTTTACTAGTGTCTTATTGACAGCTCAAAAGACTGTGTGGATCCTAACAAACTGTGGACAGCCTTGAGAAGAACGGGAATTCCTTCCTTGTGCTCGTGCAGAACCTGTGCATGGATCAGAGGCAGCTGTGCAAATACAATGCAGGTATGCTGCATGGTTAGGGTTGTATCCTCGCATCACACTTAATTCAGTCTGTATGCTGAGAAGCTAGATTATATGCAGACGAATGTTATTCAGTCTGTATGCTGAGAAGCTAGATTATATGCAGACGAATGCAGCATCAGGATTAGGGGAAGGCATATTAACAACCTGCAATATGCAGATGACACTACCTTGCTTGCTGAATGAAAATGAGGACTGGAGGCACTTGGAGATGAAGGGCGGAAACCTTCAGTAATGGATTATCACTCATTGTAAAAAGACCTAACTCCCTACAATTGGACCCATAGTTGACATGATCCAAAGAGAAAAAAGTAGTTGTCAAAGGATTTGTCTTGCTTGGATCCCCACCATCGATGCTTATGGAAGCAGCAGTCAAGAGGTCAAAAAATCAATCGATGAATTGCATTGGGAAAATCTGCTGCTTCAGAGTATTAGCAAAGAAAGGGGGTGGGGCGGTATTAATAAACCAGGATGTTACGCTGAGGCCTAAGGTGTGCCCGATCCAAGGCACGGTCTTTTCAGTTGCTTCGTAACGCGGAAGAAGGGAACCTCAGACTAACGGCTGCATTTGAATGGTGTGCTGGAGAAGAATACTGGAAGGACCGTGCACTGCCCGAAGGACAAACCAAGCCGTTTTGGAAGAGGTATGGCCAGAGTGCTCCTTAAAGGCCAGAACGGTGAGACTTGGTGGTCACGTTGTCAGGAGAGACCAGTCCCTGGAGAAGGACGTGGTGCTTGGTGAAGCGGAGGGACTGCCAAAAAGAGGAGGCCCTCAAGGAGCTGGGCAGCCACCCGGGCTGCCACAGTGGGCCCCCACATTGGGACAATTGTGAGGATGGCCAGGACCGTGCTGTTTTGTTCTGTGGTGCACAAGGTCGTCCTCTCTGGTTTTTGGCTGATTTTCGGTTTTACTAATCATGGTATCCTTCTCCAGGCACTGGGCCCTCCTGGTTGTAATTCTTCCGATGTGGTCGATGTTTGGTCCTTCCACCGTATTAGCCACTATTCTAGTCCCACCCACTTTCCTTGACCCCACCCATCGGCCCGAATCCTGTCCAGGCCCCGCCACCGCCCACCTCCTTTCATTCTATTCGCCTCCCACTCTCTGTGGTTCCGACCACGTCCTCCACCTTGTCCGCCACTCCAAAGGCAGGAAGCTGCAATTGGGGCATCCCCCTAAGGCTCCAGGTCTTCCTGCTTCTGCCCAAGGACGCCCAGGCCAGGCCGGTCCACTGCCTGGGCCCAGCCAGACCCGCGGGCCCTGCCCTACCCACCTGAGGCCCTCACCTTTGTTGCTGAAGAGCTCGGTGAGCAGCGTGCTGGCGGCGGTGATGACGGCGGAGGAGTGGTGGGGCAGGCGGCTGAGCACGTCCACGATGAGCCGCATCTGCTGCCGCTCTTTGGTGCTCACCCACTCAGCGTTGGTGACCAGGTCCAGGTCAGCGGGCAGGTTCACGATACTCAGGACCTGTGGCCGCAGTGAAGGGTGTGACCCTCCCGCCAACAGCCAGCAGCTCTGCTCCCCTCGGACCCCTCCCCCTGACCCCTTTGCCAGCGTCATCCCCGAACTCTCCAGGACTCTGGGCTGGAGACCCACTGGCCCGGTCCGCCGGGAAGCGAGCCGAGCCAGGGGAGCGGGCGAGGGGGCTAGGGAAGAGCCAGAGTCATGGGTAAGGGGGCCCTCGCACCTTGCGGCTGCTGTCGCGCAGGCCGCCCGCGGTGTTGAGGAAGATAATTTTGGTGGGCTGCAGCGCCTTGGCCAGCGCCGCGGTCACCTCCAGCGAGTCGAGGAGCACGGAGCGGCGCGCGGCGGTCTCCCCGATGGGGCACAGGATGGGCACACTGCCGGACTCCAGGCACCACCGCAGCAGATCTGTCTCCACCGAGACTATGCCGCCATAGCTGTGGCCAGATATGGTGCTCTAGGGAGTGCCCCCATGCTCGCGCGCGGGCAGGGTGGGCCGGAAGCGAGCGCCAAGGGAGCGGGGGCGGGGGGAGCGGGGGCAGGGCTGGTACTAACCTGGCATGGGGGGCTGGCTCGGCGGCGCCCAACACTGACCCGCCTCCAAAGAAGGGCACGGCGGTGGCGGCATTGTGCCGAAGGGCGTCCACCAGCACCTTGCAGCTGTGCGCCAGCTGGCCCTTGGCCTCCCAGAAGGAGAGGGAGCCTGAGGGCGCCGTGGGGGCAGGCAACCCGAGGACCACCAGCGGCTTCATGTCCATGCGCTGCAGGAAGGCCAGGGCGAAGGCCAGGCTGGCCACGGCCTCCTGACACCCGAGCACCTCCTCATCCACCTGCCAAGGCAGGATGATCAGCGGCCGTAGGCCTGGCCCATCGCCCCAAGCACACCTAGCTAAGCCCTGTGCTTGTCGCCTGTCCCCACTCTCCTTAGGGCCTGCCAGCCTCCACCTCTGGCTACCTGAGCTCACCTGTCTGCCCTCCCCCCCTCACCGGTATCTCACACCGGGCTTCCTCCTCCTCCCTGTGTCCTTGGACTCTGGGACGTGGTAGGGGGAGGGGTGGACGAAGGCGGCACAGTCCAATTTCCCCCTCGCTGCGCTCACAAGAGGGGTGGCCTTCAGGGTGTCACACCTAGCAGGTTGGGGTCCCCAGTTTCCTCCCTCGGGTGCGCGCAGCCTTGGCCAGTCTTGGGCACGTAGCAGGGCTCTGCGGCCACCTCTCCCGGCCCCAAAGCGCAGGATCCGCAGCTGGCCCT